CAAAGTGTAAACACCCTATGGGATTTGAAAAAGCGAAGTCTTTGTAAGTTATATCCCATATTAAAAATTTGAATTTGAGTATGTGATATGCCAAGATTAGGTCACCCCGAAGTCGGCGGTATTGAGATGAGTAGAGTGTCTTGTTATACAGACCAATTTTGTTGCCAGCCTTAGCGGACGTTCTAGAGCCCTCTTGTCGTGGTTCAACCATGGATTCCATGCTTGAATGGCGTACTCCGTGTGTGGCCGAACGAACGCTGATAGCAAGCGTGGGAACAATGCTCTTTCGAACTGCCCGAAAACACGTCTGAGTGGTCCAACTTGCTTTAGAGCCATGGATGTTGCCCTGGCACAGTGCGTAGAACATCCTACGTCCTACCGTAACATAACTGCCAAATCCCTTTCATCAATGACATGCGGTAGTATTTGGTTCCCCAGAACGTAGGAGAAACGAGTCTTATGCTGCATGGAAATGACTCTGCATTTGGAACTCGATGTCATTTGGCGATTGACCATCGGTGGGTGTTCTAGAGGAGTTTTAAATGCTCATCTTGTTTTCTCCCGGTTGAGACATCTGTGGAGCAAGCACGATGCTTACTTTAGCTAAGGATATCGAATTTACGGTGGCACAGTACATGTTAGATTACTTTATCGGTCTAAAACATAACCTGCTGCACATTGTGTAACATTGCTACAGGACTTTGTTTTTTTACATTTGCTCGTCTTGTGATAGGAGCAACAGATGAGTAACGATAAAGTTCGTCAACGAAAATTAGGCTATAGGAACCCTCTATCCTCCAATTAGTATCTTGCTACGCTGTTTATGATGACTGAAAAGCATACATGCTGAGGATAATAAAGCGTTCCTAAAAGTACACCCTCATACCACCAATTTATCAACGGCGCAACGTATCTCATAATCATCAAGGTCGAGGCTTAATTATTACCGGTTTTTGTCTATAGTTTCTTGGGAAACGGTGTTCCAAAGGGGTATGTGTGAGCGGTGTTTATTATCTTCCACCTTTTCATGTATCCATATGTCCAAAACAGAGTTCACTTTAAGTGGTTATACGGAACGGTAAGCTTATAGTTTTTGATTTATTCTGGGGTTTGTGAATGCAAAACAATATGCTGTTCAAGTTGCACTTGAGATTTTTACTCCTAAGAGTATCGCATGTTATACAGAAACACGGAAGCTGTACGAGATGTGTCCAATGATTTGGCGATACGGGCAAATCGTTTAAATCTTCTCCAATCCACATGTGTTGCATCATGCAACCCCCACACCTTATTTCTTAATCAAGCTTTGCAGCATCAAAATTTATAGAAAATAGTTTTTTTCAACATTTGTTGACTAAAGAATATTCCGATACTTTTTGATCTGACTTGCCTACTGCGGCGTGGCTAAATTTTGTGCGTTTAGGCTAAAGGACTACGGGTTTTGGTTAAAGAATTGCGGGTTTTGGCTAAAGCTTTATGGGTAAAGATGTAGATATTGCCAAGGCAGAGTCAATCTAAATAACATTGCCTTTTGTTGACCCAAATCGATTGGTTGCTATGGCCGCAGCCAACCTACGGTTTATGGCTGTGCAGAAGAACATTATTGAACCATTTTCGTTAGACTGATTATAGATTTCAGGTAGACGCTATGCAATGTATGAAACCAATGTGGTGCATTGCCAATTAATATCCAAATGTACATGAGTGATACCTCGCACGTTCGAAACAATTCGAGTCTGTTCTGTCGTTCAGTTCCGTTACGTAAACATATCTCCGTTCGGTCAACACATGTTAATCCGCACCAAAACTCATTTCATTCACCCAGTTACACATTTTTCTATCAATTTTATGAACGAACTTGTTACCCCTTTATGCGCA